TGGTTGCGAAACCTGTGGTGCGATTTCCAAAACTCCGCTACCCAACAAAGACATATGATTTTGTTTATAAAAATACCTAGTTCGTATACTCCCCTGAGGTGAAATTCCAAAAAAATGTACATGTTTTATAAAGTATACATTCGATGGGAAACATCTAACAATGAATTGGTTTTATAAATACAATGACTTGTATTTCAAAAATGATCATTGGATGTATTTTATCAATGACAAATGTTTTACATATTTGCATTGCATTGTATTGTGGGAGTCGGTGGGGACTCGGGTTAAAATGCATGAGTGAGTATTATCTCATATCATGGCATGACATGGTAGAATTTCAACCTTGAATCATAAATTCTTGTTTGAAATGGATAAATGTTGTTGATTGTTGCATGTGTACATTTCATATGCATCTAGGTGGGAAATAGTCTCTGTATAGATACTATATTGAGCGTGACTCATCCTATACGAAAAATATTTAATGTACGGGTTATACGCCGGTGAATGGATCCCATTCGAGCCATCAAAGGGGAAGAAAAGCCGAGATGTGGCTTGTTTTGAGATTTTGTAAAATCATTACGAAAACTTAGTTTTTGGCATGTAAATTTATGTAAAAGAATTGTAATCGAACTTATATGGACTATTTTTAATGTAACCTTGCATGTTATTATATGAGTATGGATAAATGGACCCGATGTGGTTAATGTTTACTTATAAATAGATCCGGTGTGATCAATGTTAAATATTAGACCTTGGATGTCTTGTAATTGTATGATGCACATGTTGTATTTTTGGATAGAGCTCTCCGTATAAAAGAGACTCTGCCCGAATTTTGTTAAATTATGGATCCTGATAAATGGGACATGACGGTGTGATATCGAGTTACACATTATCCACAGGTATTTAGCGGGTTGATGGGTGATCAACGGACCCCCTGAATTTTGGGGTGTCACACTATATTCTTGAAGATTTTGATAAATTAGAAGGAATGTGATTGAAATTTTTCCAAAAAACAAGTGTGGCTGAATTTTAATCAGCAAAGTTTGCTAAGCAATTTTTAACACCAAAACGTCCTATTTTGCCCTCACGTTGGTTGCTGCCCTAAAAATGGACGCTTTTGACACATAACTAAAAATGGACGCTTTTGACACATAACTCCCATTTTCTGACGTTAAAACAATTTTTGGCTCCAAAATAACATGTGTGATGCAAAAAATTACACAACAGGTTTATTATAAACATACCACAATTGTAAAAATTCTTGTTTATAAAAACATGAAATTGAATTTCAGTAACATAGAACCACTATTAAAACTATTTTTTTTAACATTGCATAAGTTATTTTAGGAGCAAAAAAGTGGAGAGCTTTAATCCTTTTTTTTTTTTTCTCTTTTTTGTCATTGGAGAGCGTTAACGTGAGAGATGGGAATAATGTGTAAAAATGTCAACTTACACATTATTCAAAAAATAGGAAGTTTTGGTCAAAATATTGCTTACATCATCACAGACCCTAAGGTCCGTTGCTTGAGGAGCATATCTGTTACAATTTGTCATACATTAACAGATGTCAACTAGGTTTCAAAAATTATGGATTGGGGTAGTCTAACGGGGTATCGGTCGAATTTCTCATATTGAAGTTGGAGGTATGAGTCTTTGAATTTACATTAGGACTTGGTAGTTGACCACTATGTTAGCCTAGTTAGGTTTGTTCTTGAAAGGTGTAACAGATGCGGTCAAGAGCCTCATGATCCCACCAATAAGAATCTATCGAGGTGGTCTTTAGACGCTCTTCCTTGCTCTTACCTTTTTTTTTTCAATATTAAAAAAAAAAAACGAGGTTTCAAAAACAACAACAGGTGTTGTGAAAGTGTCAGAAACAACATGGGTGTCAATGTAATTTATCCAAAAAATTTCGATGTTGTATTAAAAGTTATTATTTTGAATGGTAATGCTACACATTTGAAATGTAAGGTTATAGTTGATTGAAGGAAGTTCATAACTGATCAAAAATGTCATGATGGATCATAAGATTCTCTTTAAATAATTATAACTTTTTTTTTTATAAATTATAACTTGACCTTTACTGAATCTTTAAAAATAGTAATATCAATGATCAATTACAATGTTTTAGGATTGATCATGTTTTTACAAGTTATAATTTTAATTCAAAAAATTATTACAAGCCTTAAAAGTTATAATATTCGGTACAATACCGTAACCTTTCCTTGTTTAATTTGTCTTTGTTTGCTCTAAAACCAAAATCTTACTTTTTTTTTCTTTACTATATTTTAATCTGTAATAATTCTTAGTTGATACGTTTAATTGGAGACAGCTCTAAGTTACCATTTTGGCAACGATGCTACTTTTGACTTAATTTGTTAATTTATTTAATTAATTAATTAAAATTCTTTAAAAATGAAATAATTATTATAGATTAAATCATCAAATTAATTGAAAAAGTCATCGTAAAAGTTTGTACAACTCAGTAACAGGGCTGGCAAACGAGCTTCGAAGTCAACCGCTTGGAAAATAGGGCAACAAAGACGGAGCAATGCTACCAAAATTTAAAAAATTGACTTGATGATATAGTTGTTATATTTTTTATTGATTTAACTGCGAGTTTCAATATTTATTGTTAATCACTACTTATTCAATGATAGTGATTTATCTAATTCAATTTTTTAGTAAAATTTTTAATTTTATTTAGCATTTTTTGGGAAAATACTAGTATTTCTTTGTTAAAAAAATATTAAATAAACTTAAAAATTGACTTAAAAATTTACTTGAATAAATAATAAATTTTAATAAATATTTAGACTTACAGTTAAATTAATAATAAATATAACAAATATATTATGAAGTTAATATGACCACAACTCTTTTTCCTGCTAGTTTTCAACATGGCCGCAACAGAAATCAATATTATATTTACGACTTAAACCCAACCGAGTGAACCGACCACTTAAAATCAAACCCATATTCTATTTAAAATTACAGTCAAATCCTCGCCAAACATGCCTTATTTTTTTTTCCACTCTTCTCCCCTTATATACATGTCTCCATTGCCTCTACCCATTCACAATGCTCTTCTCTCTCTCTCTCTCTCTGATAGTGAATCCATGGCTTCCACTACACTAAACATTCGAAACCCAAATATAAACCTTGTTTCATTTTCAGGTGATACTATGCCCCAGAAGTGTTTTTTTGGGCAAGTAACATTGATGAAAATGAGTGAAATTTCTTCAGCCCAACACCCAGTTGCTGCTTCTATGATTGCACCTTCAATTCCTAATAAGTTTTCGAAGACTCGCTCTATTTTGGCTCTTTGTTGGAGGGAGATTCAGGGGTTAAACAACTGGGAAAATCTCATGGAACCCTTGGATCCTCTTCTCAATCAAGAAATCATCCGGTATGGCGAGTTCGTCACGGCCTGTTACAAGGCTTTCGATCTAAATCCAACCTCAAAACGCTTCCTCAATTGCAAGTATGGGAAGAAGAGAATTTTAAAAGAAGTTGGCTTGGGTGATTCAGATTATGAAGTCACAAAGTACATCTATGCCACTCCTTATATCAACATTCCAATCCAAAACAGTGCCTCCTGTGGCCGTTGGATTGGTTATGTTGCGGTATCATCGGATAATGAGGTTAGGAGGATTGGGAGGAGAGATATAGTGATAACATTCAGAGGAACAGTTACAAACCCTGAATGGATTGCAAACCTAATGAGCTCATTGACTCCGGCACGACTCGACCCACATAACCCTCGTCCTGATCTCAAGGTATGTTTACACTGAAAAATATAAATTCACGACATAACGACACTTGACTTGTCACTCTAAAATATTTATTCATGTGACAACGAAACGTGACTTGCCGAATCTAAAATTTTCCCATTGTGACCAAACAGGTAGAAGCTGGGTTTCTGAGTATGTACACTTCTGATGAGAGTGACAGCAAGTTTGGCCTCGGTAGTTGCCGTGAACAGCTTCTTTATGAGGTTTCTCGGCTTTTGAACAAGTACAGAGGGGAGGAAATGAGCATAACTTTGGCAGGACACAGTATGGGGAGCTCATTGGCCCTCTTACTGGCTTATGATATTGCAGAGCTTGGATTGAACAGAGCCGATAACAGGGAAATACCGATTACTGTTTTCTCCTTCGGAGGGCCTAGAGTTGGGAATTCAAGCTTCAAGGAAAGGTGTGAGGAGTTGGGTGTAAAAGTTTTAAGAATTGTGAATGTTAATGACCCAATAACAAAGCTACCTGGGGTTTTTTTGAATGAAAGTTTTAAGGGTTTTGGAGGGAGTTTCGAGTTTCCTTGGAGCTGTTCTTGTTATGCTCATGTGGGAGTTGAATTAGCCTTTGATTTCTTCAAGATGCAAAACCCTTCTCTTGTTCATGATTTGGAAGCCTATATTAGCTTTCTTAGATGCCCTAAGGCACTGCAGGTTCAGAGGGAGGGCTTAGATTTCCTAAATAGAGCGAAGGATTTAATCTTGAGCGCCAAAAACTTAACAGTATTCCATGGAGGAATGCTGCCATCAATATGGTGAACTTGTGTCATACTCAGAGGACATGATATAATTGATAACAGCATAGTCATATGCACGATTAACATGGAACTACAGCTTTGTATATCTTTTTGAATGGATGGGTTCATAGTCATACTTCATCCATTACCTTTGAAGTTCATTTATGAATCTATAACCTCAGAAAAAAGACGCTATGAGGTTACTTCTGCAGTTTTATGATGCATATATGAAGAACCAATCTTCTTCTTTTTTTTCCACTAATGGGAGCTAGAATTTGTTATAATGATACAACATATCTTCCAATGAATTTAGCGCTCACTATATAGAGTTCAAATATGTCTTGTGATGTTAAACTTGTGAGGAATTGGGTGTAAAAGTTCTGAGAATAGTGAAAGTTAATGACCCAATAACAAATCTTCCTGGGTTTTTCTTGAATGTCGTTGGAGTTGAAGGGTTTTTGAGTGTCCTTGGAGTTGTTCTTGTTATGCTCATGTAGGAGTTGAACTGGCCTTTTATTTCTTCAAGATGCAAAACCCTTCTTGTGTTCATGATTTGGAAGCCTATATTGGCTTGCTCAAATGCCCTGAGGCACTGCAGGTTCAAAGGGAGGGCCTGGATTTCCTCAACAGAGGAAATGATTTAATCCTGAGCGCCTAAAACATTAGCACAATTCCATGGAGAAATGCTGCTGTCAATATGGTGAACTTGGGTCATAGTCAGAGTACATGATAGTTGATAAGATCATAGTTACAGGTAGGATTAACATGACAGTCTTGTACGTATTTCAAAGTATGCATCCCTTTTTGAATGGATGTCAAGAAGAACCAATCTTTCTTTCTTTTTATTTTTTTGCAGTACTAATGGTAGCTTGAATTAAGAACACTGATACAACATATTTTCCAATGAATTTAACGTATCCTAAGCGTATTCAAAGTATCTCTTGTGATATAAACTTCTTCATCTATGTAGCAATTGATGCTTATTGCCCAATTACAGTTCAGAGAGATGTCGCGACCAATGCATTTTAGTACATTAGAGTCCATGACAGATACTGTGACTTTGAGCCAAATGACCATGTACTGCGGATGACCATCAAGATCTACCAAATAGTTTGATAAGAAGAGTCATCAATGCTAGCTCCATATGCTGAAGAAAAATAGGGAATATTTCACTGATATTATATGGTCAGCGTTAGATCAGAATTCGGATTTTTAAACATAATAGATTATAATCAATGTTGTTTTGACCCGATTATTTGGCTTAATCCATTGCCCAAATTCATTGTAATAATTGAATTATTAATGTACCCTATCTAACAATGGGATTTGTTGCTTATCCAACGACTATAATAAATTGGGTAAGTAAATTAGGTTTAAAAAATTAAGTTCAAATAACCTTACTCATAAATAACACAAAAGTTTCATCATGCAGATTATTTCTATCTTGCAAACAACTTACAGAATTTGCCAAATAATAGTTATTTTATTACAGTTTAGAACTTTGATAAAATGTTCATTTTTCACTTAAATATACTTGGTATATCTAATTCTCTCCATATTCTGCATTGTGAGTTTCTACAAAACAAGGAGTGCTAAGAGTTATTCCCATAACGCTAAAAGATACCTTCTAAATGAGTTCTCCACACCTCTCCACTCGTTCTCAATTCAGTTTGAGCAGAAAGTTTTATTTTGGTGTCAAATCTAGGTTATGTAGCTGTGGATTTTTCCTTTGCTCGTGCCGTACAAATAATTTTTTTGGGTAAATAAGATTATTCTATTACTCCAAAAGGACATATGCCAAAGTATATGTACATTCTGCAGAAGAAATCAAGAGGAAAGAATGCCAGTACGGATGCGCAAAAAAGTTCGTAACAGGACATAATTTGTTGCAAAATAGATTTGTTAATGCCAGAATTAAAAATGTAATAATTTGTAGTAAGAAAAGATTTGTTCCATAGACAGTCAATGACATATTTGGAGAAAAGAAAAAGAAGGAGAAAGAAATTAAGACTTATGTTTTGTTTGATACGATAGAAAGTTGGAAGTATGGAAAGTTGGAGGGATAAATAAAATAACATATTTGGTAAGGAAGAAAAATAGTAAGAATGGAAAAATAGATGAATTTTTCTTTCAACTCACCAAAATCATTCCTTCCAAAATCGGAAAAAAAGTAGAAGAAAAATTAATTATTTGTGTTAAGATGTATCTTATTTATCTATTTATCTTTTATATATACATATATTATGTTTCATATAAAAATACAATGATAAAATATATATTTATATATACATTTTAAAAAAATTAAAAAATTAAAAATTTTTAAAAAATATTTGTTTCATCTTAGTTAGGGTGAAAATTTTCAACTCAACACGATAACACGACTCGAACTTGACACGAATTTTATGACACAAATTAGATTATAACTCGACAAGAACTTAAAAAAGACCTGACACGCGAACAAGAAATATAAACGGCTCATATTCAGTTTAACCCGTCAAATTCAAAATTTACATCATCAACCCGTTTATTTAAAAATAAACACTTTATCTATTTTTTCGTTTGTATGGTAACACGAATATAACAACACTAAACTAACATGTTTAACTAGTATTATAGACATAAAACACTGACCTAATTATTTGTAACTATTTATTAAGTACTTGACATAATTATTATATAAAAAAATATTTTTATTTATTATTATTTAAGGTAATTTTTAGTTTGTAGAAAAAATATACACATGAATTCAATTAAGTGAAAATAGAATATTAACATTAAATTTTTTATTCAAAATTTATGTGCGTTAACACGAACACAAACATGATACGAAAATAAATAGGTCAATTCGACACGACACAATTAATTAAATAAATTGAGTTAGATATGACTTATGTTTAACACAAATCCGTTATAGCTCAACACAAACCTTCCTACCAAACGGAACATTACTATTGCAGATGTAACTTCAGGAGAAATCCATTGGTCACAAGGAGTAGAACATGGTATTCCACATCACAGGTAGTCGTGGCGTCGAGGATTACAGTGATGACCAATCGAGGTTTGGGTTAAACTGAGAAGAAGTAAAAGATCATTGTTGTACATGCATGCAAGGTTCCTTTAGTCATTTGCTTCATGCTCTCATGTAATGTAATTTGCATTATACACATAAACCCACAGTGGATAGGGATTCATTCTCTTCAAACAAGCCCCACACACTTGGTTTAATCATTTCACCAACTTTCTCCTCACTCGTGGGTTCGTGGGTTTCAATTTTGGTCTTCAACTGTACAAAGATTATTTTGATCCTAGCTATCAGTGCCTTTTCTGACTATTCACATTATTTTTCTGGTTGAAGATCAATGCACAAAAAAAAAAAAAATCACACAACGTATGACTTCATAAGCCATCCTATGCTGCAAGATGTCAAAATCTTCGGTTAAAGGTTATACCATGCCAAGAATACTGACGTGGTGTAACTATTTAATAAAAAAAACTACAAAATAGATAAAATGAGATTCATTTTCTATCCAATGATGAAGCAGCTAGTTCCAAGATGTTTGAAGAGGGTCCATGTATGTTTTATGGGAAACCAATTTTGCTGAAAAAATGGCATCCCAAACTTCGTATTGCCAAGGATTCACACTCCAAGATTCCACCGTGGATCAAGCTCTATAACATTCCACTGGAATACTGGAATAAAGAGGGATTAAGTCACATTGCTAGTGCAATTGGTAAGCCCTTATATGCTGATTCCCTCACTGAATCCAAGCAGAGGATCACCTTTGCCAGATTATTTGCTTAACTGGAAGCAGACAAGGAGGCCATTGAATCATTTGACCTTAATATCACTGTTGAATATTAGTGGAAACCTAGGATATGCACAGAATGCAAGGTGTTTGGACATAGTAACTCTAATTTTCCTATGGGTACAACTAAGAAAGAATGGAAACAGAAAACATCCTTAGGAAAGGGCAAAGGAATGGTTATTGAACCAGGTATAGAAGAATAGAATCAAGAGACTCTAAACAAATGCAGTACAAGTTCAAGTGACCCCCATCTTACACTGCCTGAGTCATCTCAACAAATTCAAAGGGAGATTCTTGTTCCTACAGGGAATATGAAAATCCAGGCTTCACCCATTCTTAAGGCCTCTATTAACATTGAGACTTGTAAGAAGTTTGCTAGCCTTGTGGTTGATCTTTCTGGGATACAGGAGAACGTCATGGAGAAATCAGCTTCCCCGATGAAAAGCCTCCTAAGTAGCAAAGTGAAGAACATTGATGGAATTCCAATTGGTACAACTAGAAAGAAGAAACAAAAACAAAAATCTCCTAACCAAGGGAAAGTTGGGGTTTCTAAAGCCCAGGGTAAGAGTTTACCCAAACCCAAATGATCAATCTATCTTGCTGAAATATTAGGGGTCTTAATTCCAACCCTAAACAAATGGAGATTAGGAAAATGATTTTTGAATAGCAGCTTGACATAGTTGAAACCAAAGTAAGGGCTATTAATAAGGAAGTTGCCAGGAGAACAATCATCAGAGACTGGTGCTGGTGTGATAATTACAATAGTCGCACATTGGGTAGGGTGTGGATTGGGTGGAATCCTCAAAGCATCAGTGTACATAAATTTTCTAAAATGGATCAAGCTATTCATTGCAAGGTCACTCATCATGCAAGTATGACTTCATCTACACTTACTATTGTTTATGGTTCTAATGATGATATAGAGAGGAGAAGGCTTTGGAGGGACATGAAGGGTGTATCAAGAACTACATTCAATGATCCCTAGATAATCCTTGGGGACTTTAATGTGGTTAGACTAGTTAAAGAAATTCTAGGTGGCTTAACTAGAAGGACCTTGGCCATGGATGAATTTGAAAATGTCATGCATGCAGCTGAGATCACTGACCTTAGATACTCTGGTGTTCAATTTACTTGGTGTAATAGTAGAGGTCCAGGCTGAACTGTTAGAAAATTGGATAGAGCTATGGTCAATGAAGCATGGATTCTAAAATTCTCAATGACAGCAACTAAGTTTCTCCGAGCTGGTATTTCTGATCATAGTCCCATTGTGGTTAAAATGGGAAAAGATATCAAAGCTAAGAAGTGCCCTTTTAAATTCTTAATTTTATTACAGAGGGAGGATTTTCTTTCCATTGTTAGTAATGTTTGGCAAGCTCAAATTAGGGGAATTATTCAACTCCAAGTCAACCAAAAACTAAAGCTCTTGAAAGTTGGGCTCAATAAAATCAACAAGGAAAAAGTTGGTGATGTTACGATCAAGGCTATTGAGGCGAAGGAGCAACTTTCAGCTTGTCAAAGGCGGCTTAATACCACCCCCCTTGACCAATCACTTAGGATTGTTTAAAAATAATTGGTGGGTAAATGTTTTGAGGCCTTCAAGATTGAGGAAGATTTTCTAAGATAGAAGTCTAGAATCCAATGGCTAGCAGTGAGTGACAAAAACTCCTCATTCTTTTTCAAATCCATCTCAAGTAGAAAGAACAATTCCAAGATTATCCCCACAAAGATAGGATGGGTCTTTCGCTAAAGGAGATAAGGAAATTAAAGATGAGGCAGTAGATTGTTTCCAAAACTTGATGGGTAGGAGAAGCTCTCAGGATTCTTATTGAACTATCGCTATACGGAACATTTTGCAAAGCACCATTACAAGGGAGCAATCTCATATCATTAGTAATGAAGTTACTGATGCTGAAATTAAAGAAGTTTGCTTCTCTCTCAATCCCAATAAGGCTCCAGGTCCAGATAGATTCAATGGGTTTTTCTTGAAAATGGCATGGTCAATCATTTGTGAAAACATTGTTGCTGCTGTTAAAGAGTTCTTTGTCATAGGTCAGTTTCTCAAGGAATTGAATTTTACTATTATTGCTCTTGTTCCTAAAGTCCCTAACCCCACAAGCATGTTTGATTTTAGACCTATCTCATGTTGTAATACCCTCTATTAGTTAATCTCCAAAATCATAGCAAATAGGCTTAAAATTCTACTTCCCTATGTAATCAACCCATCTCAAACTGCCTTCATAAAGGGAAGGAGAATAGGGGACAATATTCCTCTGGCCCAAGAATTGCTAAGGAGCTATCATTAGAATGATGGGCCATCCAAGTGTGCGATCAAGGTTGATTTAATGAAGGCTTATGACATGGTTGAGTGAGATTTCTTGCCCGATGTGCTTTCTGCTCTTAATCTTCCCAGAATAGTGGTCAAATGGATTAGTGAATGCATTACTACTCCCAAGTTTTCTATCAATGTTAATGGTGAATTGGAAAGGTACTTCCCAAGTGGTAGAGGTTTTACACAAGGTGACCCAATTCTCCTTATTTATTTGCAATTATGATGGAAGTGTTGTGAAGAATTCTTGAGCAAAGGCATTCAAGATGAGCTTCAGTTCAAATATCATTGGACATGCAAAAGACAAAAGATTGTCCAACTTTGCTTTGCAGATGATTTAATCATGTTATGCCATGGGACCCCAAATCAGTTGAAGTTCTTAAGGGGCTCTGGATAAATTCCAAATGTTATCTGGCTTAAAGGCTAATCCTTCCAAGAACCACATCTTCCTTTCAGGTGTTCAAGAAGAGCAACAACAGTTGATGGTCGTGTGTTTCGGTTTTCCCATTGGTTGTCTTCCCATGAAATATCTAGCGATCCCTATTATTACGACTAAGCTCAAGTTGCAAGACTGCTCTTTGTTACTTGAAAAAGTGAACTCAAGGATAAATTCTTGGGTTAATAGAGCTCTGTCTTATGCTGGGAGACTCCAGCTCATTAAATTTGTGTTATGTAGTATTCAGGTTTATTGGGCTAGTCATCTTATGCTTCCTAAGAAGATTCTCCATGCTATTGATTAGAAACTAAGATCATTTTCATGGTCTAGAACTGAAATGAAAACAAAGGGGGCCAAGGTTGCTTGGAGAGAGGTATGTGAAGGAAGGGGGCTTAAGATTGAAAGATTTAAGGGCTTGGAACAAAGCCCTCATGCTCAAGCATCTCTAGCACTTAATTTTTGATGAGAATAACACTCGTACCAGCTGGACCAAGGAGCACCATCTTAGAGGCAAGAGCATGTGGGAAGCCAAATCACCACAGGTCTGTTCATGGAATTGGAGGAAGTTACTGCAAGTCAGGTTATTACTAAGACCTTTCATTTTTCATGTTATTGGAAAATGGTAGGAATACATCTCTCTGGTAGGATTTTTGGCATCCTAACGGACCTCTCCTTCTTAAATGGGGTCTCAGAGTAATTTATGATACTGGGATCTCTAAGAATGGCAAGGTTGCTTCCATTATCCAAGGATACTAGTGGAGCTGGCCTTTAGCAAATCCTAAAAAACTCTAGAATTATTGATTAGATCATCTCTACTATGCCCAATTACTCCCCAACAATTGAAAATAAGGATGAGATCAAATGGCCTCCCCAAGTTAATGGCAAATTCTCTACTTCTTCCGCTTGGAATCAAATTAGGAGCCAAAAACCAAAGGGGATGTGGTACCATCTTCTTTGGTTCAATCTATGCATTCTTGGGGCCAGCTTTATCCTTTGGCTTGCTATAAGGAATAGACTGGCCAAAAACGACAGAATCTATAGTTTTACACCCAACATTGGAACCAACTGTGTACTTTGTAGAGCTGATCAAGAATCCCACTCCCATCTACTTTTTGAATGCACATACTCAGAAAGAGTTTGGAGGAATGTCATCAGTAAGTGTGCTTGGCTATAGCAATCTTCTTCTTGGCAGTCTCATTAAGGCAATGTCCACCCAATGGAAAGGCAAGCATCTATAGAATTCCATTAGAAAACTATGTCTTGTTGTCACTGTATATGTTATATGGGGAGAAAGAAATCGTAGAATTTTCACCAATGAGCATAAAGATCCATGCACTACCTAGATGATGGTTTTGAATATGGTGAGAAGTAGGCTTCTCTCAACCAAAATGAAGGACATGCTTCTTCATAGAATGACTGTTTCTTCTGGGCAACTTCCAAGCTCTTGTTTTTGCACATGATGTATTTTCGGTTTCTAGTTTACGGGCTTTGTAATCTTTGGGGAGTGCACCCCCCAAACTTCCTCTGCCTGCTTTTGATGGATTGATTGTAGTGTGTTGCAGTCTTAGTCCATGTTTGTTTGCTTTGTTTCTGTATCCCTTTTGGGATTGAAAGTTGTTGTGTGCATTTGCATATTCTTCAATGCATCCAAAAAAAAAAAAAGATTCATTTTCTATCATGGAGGTAGTTATGTATTATATGACTAGGTGGTTTTGTATTGCATGACTAGGTGGTTATGAATTTTTATGGGGCCTATTTGTTGACTTGTTTACTTATTAGTGGATGGTTACACTATGTGACACTATTGCCGTTGTATAACGGTGATACTAAATATTTTCCCAGGGGTTGTTTAAACTATAAGGACTCTTTTAGTTCCCGTATTGTAAAAGAATTGATTGTATTAGGAAATATAAACTAATTTTGTGTAGGTGGATAAAATATAAGATTAAATATGAGACAAAAAGATTACACATTATTATCCAGTATTTGGTGAGACACTTGATTATGAGATAATAGAGTAACAATTACATATCGACTAAACAATCATCAATTATGTAGAATTATTAATGTTTTTGTTTATCTATTGAGTGAAAAAGTAAATTTATAATTTGATACGCTTGAATTGGATTGTAATACCACCTTCCAAAGTGCTATTATAATCGGCTTAATAGTACGTATATAATATATTAATTGGATAAGTAGTGTATTATTTGGATAAGAATTTGAAATAAGACTATATATAATACAGAGTGGGCTTGTTTGGTTGCCGTATTAAAAATGGATAGATTGGATAAAAGAATTCAATCTAATATAATAAAGATTGGACGAAAGACAAAATTAAACGGGGTATTAGAATAATACATAATTTTATTTGGTGTTTGACAATACACAATATAAACTTTGGACAATGGTTATTTAATCTAAATCGTTGTTTGGTTAGGAAATTATTTTATCTTATTATTGTTGAATTAACAAAAATACCCTAAATCAGTTTTTTTAACGTTGATTATAGCTTGGTTTTATTAGTTGTGAGATTATACATACATTTGAGTTGGATTATAATACCACCTCTCCTGGTGGTATTAAAATACCTCCATAAAACAGGTGTATGGTATAAAAAATATACAATAAGTGTACGATCATATACGTTTTTGAAATTAACACGGTGTCAAATTTGTCTATCAAACAAAATATTAGACCTGATTAAAATAAATAATAGTAAAATCTAATATTTAATCCACTAATGATACGTCTACCAAATGAGTCCAATATTTTTTCCAACCAAATGTTGAATAAAGTTGGATTAGAAAGTTTTAGTCTGTTAT